CCCCCCCCCCCCCCCCCCTCCGGTGGCGGCGCTCAGACGGGGAGAGTTCCGAGGAAGGACTCGGCGCGCCACGGCCCCCAGCCTCGGCCAGTATAGTAGCGGGGTAAAATCCATCTTCACATGGCCTGGCTCCAGGCCACTAGAACTAAATATTCAATTACCCCAGATCAAGAGTACGACTCGCGTTGCCGCATTCGGCTGAGCTATGCTATCAACCTACGACATAGCGCATTTTACTTCAAATCACGGACAAACACACAAACTTGATTAGATGATTCTCCGCCTAAAGCTGAATCGGTAGCTTGACCAATCGAAAACTACTCAACATGTTTCATTTGTGCAAGCGATAGTATTAGTACAAATCTGCAGTAGAGCCATATAGATGGTTCCCGCGCTCCAGCACTTCAATCTCGTCTCCGACACAAACCACGAGATTCGCTCGCTGCTCGCGCGCAGCATCCAGGTCCCTGTCTTCAGGAACAGCATGCATGCCCAGATATCCAAGCGCCGCCTTGTTTCCATTCTCCGGCGTGCGGTATTCCACCAGCGTCGTCGTCGGCTGCGGGAGCCCCTTTTTTTTGCCCTCGGCCGGTCGCTGCGCTGAGAATGTGCCCTTGGCTGGATCGACGTTTGGCATGGTGCATCGCGAGGTGCGACAGACAACCGACAGCGTCGTCGCCAACTTGCTGTCCTGCCTGTGCACGCGCGGCGCCTTTGGCACGATGCGGCACCGTTTCCAGGATTCCTCGTCGTAGGCGGCCGCGCCGGTAATCCATAGATTGGCGCGGAATCGCAAGCCGTTGAGCGGCTGGTTTTCTGGGGGCAGCATCTGGGACACGGCCTGCACAGACGGCACGCTGTTGATGTTGATGGGTTGCTGGTCGGTGTAGCCGTGGACAGCGCGGGAGCCAATGTTGGCAAGCGGCGCGAGATTCTTGTCGGTGCGTGACAGTGTATCCGGCGTGCACTTGAACAGGGTCAGTGTGCGGCGGTCAGGATAGCCAAGTAGTTTCTTCAACTTGGGGATAGCAGCGGCCACTGCGGTAATACGGCCCATGTCTATCCCCTGGGCCTCGCGGGAGTGTATCGTAAACGGCCTGGGCTTTAGGTCCGACTCGCGCAAGTACCTGATGGTCGGTGTCAAGGGGACAATGAAAGAATACTGAGGCGTCGCATTCCATCGCATCTGTTCAAGGCAGGCCTGAAGACGTTGTCTAAAGCTGGGGATATCGGGATCCGGAAATGTTAGGCGCACGGCGCCGCCGGCATGAACCAACGGGTCCAGGCTGCTGCTCGTTTCGTGTGGAAGCCACAGCTCAGTTTGGATGAGTGACATTTTAGGCTTTGTGCGCTGACTGATGAACTGCAGCGTAGGCGCATCGTCTGATTTCTTCTCATCCGAGTCCACGGCAAAGGAAAAGCATCTGTCATGCAAAAGCCCGGCTTTTGTGACGACGGCCCTGTCTAGTTCGACAGGACCGCACGATTTCACGGGATGGATAAAGATGGCCTTGACGCGCACTGGGCCGTGTGCAGGACTTTCTTCTGGTGCAGCGTATTTTGCGTCATGTTGATCATCCATGTTCCTTTTCGAGGACTTGACGCGATGCAGATGTCGCAGTTGGCGCCGCGTCGTAAAGCCCGGCGCAGTCCATAACAAGCCAACGCTAATGGCAACCAAAGACACTATCAAGGCGAGTATCACGTACACATTGTCGTCTGCTGTTAGAGCAGCTTTAGATTTCTGAAATGCATACAGCAGCATCTTGAGACGAACGAGAATTATTTGCAGGAGTTGGGCGGAATAATTGAAAGGTAGATAGATATTCAATCCGGGACGCGGAAAGAGCGCTTCGTTCTAGCTTCAGCGGGCCTGCTAAGTGGAGCGTCACTGAGTCAATTTCTCGGACCGTTGATCGAACTTGTACATACCATTAGTTAACTAATGTGCACCCAGTAGCTACCAAGCGGGGAGCCCTTACGTGAATGACACCATAGTGGGAAGGGGAGTTGGGACGACATGATATCGTCTGGCAAATATTCGAACTGGATGCATTCGGAATCATGTTCAGCTGCCATCATGAGAGCGCTTCACCAACGCTTTTCAAGGCAAGTACTGCGGATATCCACAGCGCTGGATGAACAAGGCCCAAGACCGTATGGTCAACGGCCACACTAAGTACATTCTAGTTTCAATTGACTAGCAATTTTTGCAGTGCTTCTTTAACCTTTGACCTGCGCAAATATCCCTGGACGTCACCGGGCTCGTCAGCAAGGTACTACTGTATCAAACGAGGTTATGGCGGATCAAGCGAGCGAAAGAGAGCAAAACGTCACACGAACAGGGCACGAGCGAAAGCAAAGTCCTGGATGAATGTGTGTATGAAGGAGAGAGAAAGAGAAAGAGAGGCTATCTAGAAAGTGTGGCGGCTGATGAGGGTCCTGGCTGAGTCAGCGAGCTGAGGCCAACAGAGGTGCCTATCACTCTAATCTACCGTAACAAAACCTTCCCAGCATCCTCTCTACACCAATCGTCGTGCACGAGCGACTCATTCGTCAGCGAGGGCCGAGAGGACGAGCGTCTCGGTGGTTTGAAATTTTTTGGCGGAGATGACCGGGCCTTTCTGTTGGCGGGCGAGTCCATGCGCTTTTGTAACAACTGTGGCATGATTTTGAGCTTGCATCGCACCTCGTCGAGGATGCTGTTATGAACCAACATGCGCGTGGAAGCGGCGCATATCTGACCCCTGCCGATGAAGGAGCCAAACGCCATGGCTTTGAGCGTCGCATCCACCGCCGACTTTTTGCCATTGCCGGGTGTTTTGCTTCCCATTCCACAGCAAACAATGGCCGTTCCGCCGTCAGGCATTCCACGTCATCATCAAGAGACATCTGTGTGTGCATGTAAAGGAGAAACTTGCTTGACTCGCATGAGGCTGAGTGAGGGGTGCTTACATGCGAGCGACGCGGGGTACAGCGGTCAGCACTGTGAGCTACTTGGATGCTTTGCTGACGGACAAGAACATTCATTCAACTTTTCAAAAATCCTGCAGGAATTAAACCTTCTTCCGCACCAAGCCTGCTTTGTTTGAGAAACACCTATTGACAACCCATCTGCGCTTAAGAAAACAGTTTCTTGCCTGATTTACTCGCAAGCAAAGGGGCTCAATCTTCCAACTAAAGTTATTCAATTAGTGAATATCAACATTGCCAAAGTCCCTCAAAAGATCTTCAAGTTGTATTTCAGCTCGCTTCGCCTCATTGTCATTGCCGCCGCCGCCAGCAGCCGGTAGCAAGCCCGTCACAGCCACGGTACGATGCAACACGCCAGCTTCGTTATGACGCACCCGATCAAAGAACTTTAGCATGTACATTGGCACCGCCAGCCTGTACAGCCTAAACGCAGCGCGGATACCGCTCAGAGTATCCGCTGCCAGCGGCAACGTCGGGCGCATCTCAAAGATGCACTGGCAAGCACGGACCAGCGAGTCCATTTGCACAGGCGCGTCGGGCTCTTGCAATAGAATGTAGGCAGCAGCGCCCAGGGCGTACGCGAGGTAGTACTCGTAGCGGACTTGGCCGTGGGCGCGAAATGACCAGACTGTTGTCACTAGATGGCTGGCATGTGCGGCGCATCGCTCCCGAGGGCTGAATCGGCCACCAAACTCTTGTCTGGTCAAGTGAGCAAAGGGACGTAAAAGAGTCATGCTCACCGTCTCCAGGTGGGTGCTATTCAGTTCCAGTCATTGTGTGTCTCTGTAAATACGTACGGGCGGTTCAAACTTACTGCAAAGCAATGACGGACGGCAGCACAGACTGCTCAAATCGCAATTCATCGGGAAGCCCGTATTTCCAGTTGATCAAGGCGTCGTAGAGCTCCAATGCATAGCCAGGCTTGGATACAGCGTCGATGCCGTTTTCGTCGGGATGTAGATAGTTTAATATCGATTCGACAATCTCCGACAGCGCAGCATCCGCCTCCCGGAGAGCCACCTGCATTGATGGCTGCATCTGGACACTCAGCGGGTAAGGATACCAACTGTATCCTGCGGACCCAGCCTGACGAAGTGTGAAGCTGCTCTCGCGCCACACTTTATCAATCTTTGGCGGACGGCTCAACTTTCGGAGGCCAAGCGCCTCGGTAGATCGCCTAGCCAGCATCAACACATGAGCCATCTTTTTACCGGGTACTCAAAAGATGTCCCACTCACCATTCACAGCAATACATTCCCCACATGCACCAAGAAAAGGCTTCTCTCTCCAGCTTCCGTCGAGGCTCGGGCACCGTGTCGTCAGCAAGCTCGATCACGTTCCTATCGTTGAGAATCCTGTAGACATCCATGCATTGCGTCAAGTATTGCAGCGTTCTTGCGCCGTCACTAAGACTGGCCTCATAGATGAGCATAACGTATAGGCCTTGCATCAGAGCAATGGATGGCCGGGTGCAATTCTGCAGGTGAAGCCGGGCCTCCTCCGCCCATAACCTCCCTCGTGTTCTAGGATCCGCAGGGTCTTTGTATGTAGCTGGGTCCATCGAGTAGAGCTGAATTGCATTAGAGCATAATCGTCTTGCGGATTGTTGTGTTTTGACTTACGCAGCTCAAGGCCAGTAGGCCATTGATCAGAAAGGGAGAGCAAAAGTCGCTGTCGGTATTGTCGTCATAGTCACCTTGATGCCCTCTTCTAAGCCTTCGAACATTCTCTTCCAAGATTGGTCGATAGATGATGCGCTCCACAACATTGTCCCAGGTGAAAAACAAGTTGAGCAAATGATTCATGCGGCGATTATCAGTAGATACCTTGGTCCAGTTGGACAGAGGCAAATCATGACCTGATACATCCACAAAGAGGCTTGGATCTACCCGTCGATAATAAGTATCAGTGTCGTAGCGTTTCTCAAAGATAAAGTCACAGTCTTCGTATCTAACAATACGTCAGCAGTGTATTCCAGCATCGTACCATTGGGCATTACTCACGGGGACGTCAGCAGTGGACGGGGAGCAGCAGCAGGATATTGTCTCAAAGGTGGCCCAGTGGCGGCTGTAACCGCTCGAGAAGAAGGTTGCAGCAGGAGGCTTGCACTGGCAATATCACCAACGGCAGTGTCAACGCTTTCAGCCTCTCTGATTCTCTGCGCAATCTGTTCAGCGTGCACGCCGTTTCCGCGGCGTATCAGTTCAACCACACTCGCATAGTTTTCTGTGCGTTCCTTTTTGAGCTGCTGAGATGTGACTCCAGGCGGAGCAGTGTAGACACAGGGCCAGTTTCTTCTGGCACATTGGCGGCACTGTGGCCGGGCGCTATCACACTATTGCTCTTTGACATTAGCGCTGGCCTCTCGTGCTCCTCATCGACAATATAACTCAAAACTCGTCTGCTTAACCGCCGAGCGCGAATGGCTCTTACCTTGGTTTTCCGTGTCCTACAGCCTGAGGTCTCGAGTTAGTTTGCGGTCAACAAATCCATAACGTGAGGCTGACATACTGTTGCAAGCATTGCTTACTAGCTTGCGTCTGCGGGATGGGGTTACCTCTGGTCGGCGCTCTTCTTCCCCCAAGGGCCTGGGCAAAAGTCTCGGTAGTGAGCCTCGAGCTGGAGACATCTTTTTTGTTTTCTTTCTTTAGCCGTAAGAGACGAGGGCATCTTAGAGTGAAGCGGGGTGGGGAAGGCAGTCTACTTATACAACGACAGAATGCAAGCGTTACGTAACTTGTCCCTTCATTCTGAAAAGCCTGAGGAGGAGTAGAAATCACTTTTCACTTTTGACAGCAATTAATATACGGTTTTTGGAGGTTGTTCGAGGAGAAAGCGCTGTGGCATGGCCAATTGGGCGGCTCGGAGCTCTCTCCGGACTGCAATATCCACACGCAGGGTTCTCACTTTGAGGGCTTGATGTCTCACTCCTGCCTTACACACTGGCACGCTCTATTGTGTAATCTGTATCGAAAAGAAATTTACACAACTTTCAAGGCAGTTTTGTTATTGTCAAGAACGTGCTGAACAGAGCTTTCAAATCCGGACAACGAATAGCAAGGGGGCAGTGTCTGCGGGATCGACAGCGGAGTCATCATCCAATACATCAAGCCGCGCGACAGGGGGTGGAGGGGGGTATAATAAGCTGCAGGAAGACATACATGATGCAACTGTTCTCGGAAATGCCGCTGTCTACTTGCAGATAGCCGCGGGAAATTCTTATCCACAGCGAGTAAACACCACTTTCGCCACGTGTTGTTCGAGGCGTGGTGGAAAAGACTAAACGACGTTGATTCATGTGAGAGTGCGAAGGCGCGAAATCTTGGAAAAGTCAATGGCTTGTACCATGCCAATGAACACGCCAACGCGACAATGGCCAGAAGTGCTTCGTCGCTGTCACAGCTTCTTGTGTCGACAAAGGAGGGTACGTAGCGGTGTAAAAAGACGCTGTTAACCCTGTGGGCTCATCTGAAGGCTGCTTCGCAGCCGAGTTGGCAGAGAGACTTGAGCGCTTACGAGGAGCGAAGCGTCTAAATAAACATGACAATTCTTTCTAAGGCTGTCTGATATATCTCAGTCTATCTAGCTTTTAAAAGATCCCACTGCAAGGAATGGGGTGTTTACTAACGTCATTAGCACTCTCTCGACTAACACGGATGTGTAATGTACCTATCCAGTGTGCGGCTTCTCGGACACCCATATTTTTGTTGACTCACCTATCGACCAATACTAACATTCTAAATACACAGCTTCTTCTTGATAATTTGCTAATGTCTTTTTCTTCTCAATACTTTAGCTGCAAAATGGTGTATTCCAGCAGCGGTAGGGTACAATTTGGCTGGGTGCTTGGCCGGGGTGGAGCCCACAGCTATGTACCATGTCTCGCCTCGCACCGATCGCAGGCTTCACTCGCTCAAACCACATAACCATCGTTTGCATCACAGCCATGAACCTCAATCTATCGGCCTCACTCAACGCGACGCGCCTACTCTTCAAGCCGAGCATATGCTTACCACACCACACCGTGTCCACATTCAACGACTTACCAATCCCGCTCGACAGCGTGCTGCACGCCCGGGGTCTCAAGGCCAACATTCGCGCCGTCGTGCTCGACAAGGACGACTGTTTTGCCTATCCCGACGCCAAGGAGGTATACGGGCCATACAAAGTAAACCTCGGGCCCGTTCTTGCCTAGCTTCCTATCAAAAACCAAGCCGTACTCACACTTCTCACAGAATCACTTTGAGAAATTGCGCAAGGCTTATCCCGGGCGGAAGCTGCTCGTCGTCTCCAACACATCCGGCGCCACAACCTGGGACAAGAATCTGTTGCAGGCCGCTGAAGTGGAACGGAGCACCGGGGTGCACGTGCTGCCGCACGCGGTCAAGAAGCCCGGGTGCGGCCCGGAAATCATGGCGTACTTTGAAAAGCACCCGGAGACGGGCGTGACGGACCCCTCGCAAATCGCCGTCGTCGGGGACCGGCTGACGACGGACATGATGCTGGCCAACATGATGGGCGGCTGGGGCTTTTGGATCAGGGACGGCGTGGTGCCAATGCGACAGAAGAGCATGGTGAGTACCAAGGGGGGGCCAGGAAAAACTCCCGGGGGTAAAGAAGTTGTTGGTTTGCTAACGAGCGAGGATAGTTCTCGCGAATGGAACGAAATCTGCATTCATTCTTGCAGTCGAGAGGCGTAAAACCGCCTGAGCCTCGGAGTTTGACGGAGCAATAACAAGGCGTCACTGATGATATGGGAGCGGCCTTTTGCGCTGCGTGGAGAGGCCGTATTTTGCGTGTAAAAAGAAACCAATTGTACCAATTTTTGAAATTTCCGCCGGCATCTAGGTAAATCTATTATTACATCAATAATGAAATAATTCACATAAAATTTCCAACATCAACATCGGCACCTCTCTGTACATTCTTGTCGCAAGTCGGCGGCGCCGTGGGGCCGTCCGTCGTCAAGGCCCCCGAAAAAAATAAGCGGTCGCCCCCGGCAAAAATTCTTCCCCCAAATCTCGCATCATCAGGAGGTCACTGCTGTCGACAACCACATCTTCCGCCTCCACGACCTATTCAATACCCCTGCGACTGTCATTTTTTCACAGTCGCCTATACAATATCTACGCAAAACGACCGACAACATGAGTCTTCCTCTTGGTGGCGGAGCCATGGGCGCGCCGCCAATGCCCATGGCTGGCGGCGCCGAGGACCAGGGCGTCAAAGCTGTACGTCGCGCTCGAGACCGCGACCGACAACGCCGATATACCATGCAACTAACCATGATGATGAATAGATGAAAGCGGCAATGGAGTCATGCGTCGGCAAATCCGTCATGTCTGGCGTGATGGGTTTCGGCATGGGCGGTCTATTCGGCATGTTCATGGCCTCTGTACGTCCCCCCTCCCCCTCTCTCTCCCCTCTCCCTCTCCTCCTTCCCCCTTCTGGTCCTAACCATACTCTTTCCACCACCACCCAGATGTCCTACGACACCGTCGGCACCTCCCTCGCCGGAAACCAGGCCCACCAAGCCATTGCCAACCTGCCGCTCCGGCAGCAGCTCAAAGTCGGCTTCAAGGACATGGGCACGCGCTCCTTTTCCATGGCCAAAAACTTTGGCAAGGTCGGCGCGCTCTTCTCCGGCATCGAGTGCGGCATCGAGGGCATGCGTGCAAAGAATGACCTGGCCAACGGCGTCGCGGCGGGCTGCTTGACCGGCGCCATCCTGGCCAAGAATGCCGGGCCGACGGCCATGGCTGGCGGCTGCGCGGCGTTTGCGGCGTTTTCGGCGGCGATTGATGCGTATATGCGACAGCCGGGCGATGAATAAAAAACTTCTTCGAAAAAAAAAAAAACTGTCGGGTGATGCGATTACAGATGGGACAAAGGGAACTGTACGATGGGAGGGTGTTTGCTGTACGACTGGGCATGGGAATGGCGTTATTGGCATTTGGTTTTTCTCCGCGGGCATACATCTCCTCTCGACATTTCGGAGGGAATTTTAGAGATATACTGTTAGATACGTTGGAACGGGCAAAGCTGCTCGCTCATCACCTGTATAATAATACATTGACTAGACACTGTAGCCAGTGGCTACATGCACAAATTGAGAGGTTCGGTCTAATAAGTTGATATTAAACCAATGTATATGCGGTCATGGTAGCAAGAGTTTTTATTAAAGAGTATAGATAACCATTTGATCCAAAAAGTGTCGGCGTTTACGAAGCCTGATATACTTCAAAGGCGCCGAATTCCCAGTAGGCATTGGTAAAGGCGCTCGGGTTAGTCGCGACAAAGTTTGTGCAGTTGGAACCGCCGCCGCCTGTTTCATCAAGTTAGCATTGTGAGAGCTTGTATACATCCGAGATGGCGTCAACTGAAAAAAAAAAAGAAAAAAAAAAAAAAAAGAACTTACAGCCTGCCTCTTTCCAGCTGGCCTCGACCAAGTCGCCGCACAGGTCAATGTTGGCAACAATCGAGTGATTTGAAAACCTGGCACCAACATCACAATGCGTATTCGGAAAATCCGCCGCCGCCGTCCCCCACGCGTCCGGCGTCGGCTTCTTGCCCGTCACATCCGCCGGGATGCTGTCCCTCGCAAACTGCCACATTCTAATGCCGTCATCGCGCCACTCGACCGCCATGACGCCGCCCTGCTTCTCATTCCACGCCTGCCCAAACGACGCCTTGGCGCCGTCGCGCACGCCGCACCCGGCATTGTTGTTATCCTTGACGTAGCACGACTTGTCCAGCGCCTTGCCCGTCATCTTGCGCTTGCCGCCCATGCTGCAGCCCTTGGCCGAGTGCAGCGACATGAGGTTGCCGGCGTCGCCGGCGTTGACGGCCTCGAGAATGTCAATCTCGCCGTGATCGGGCCAGTGCGCAGGGTCCGTCAGCCAGAGCGCGGGCCACGCGGCGCAGGCGTAGGGGCTGTGCTTGACGTCAAAGAGAAAGAGGCCCTTGTTGTACGTCTTCTTGGACTCGATGCGCACCGAGAAGCGGCCGGTCGAGGCGTCGGGGGTGGAGCCAGGGCCAACGGTGGTGTCGACCTTGATGACGGCCGTGTTGGCGGTGGCGTAGGTTAGGTTCTGGACGAGGTTTAGAATTGGGGAAGACAAAGTTGGTTGAGGGTTGGATGTAGATGCGTTGCGAGACTCACATGTTGCTTGGCGTCGGCTTCGCTGACATAGTGTACAAAGCCATTGGCTGCAGGCTGTTAGTTAGTGATGGAAATCGGTAGCTGGCAAAGACCAACGTACCAGGATCATACGTATTAAAGTAGTTGAATTGGCTGAAAAAGTTTTCGCCAGAGTCTGCGTTTGTCAGTCTGGGTCATTGCAGACACGAGGGTGCAGGTACTTGCATGTATCTTGCAGCGTGTAGGATAGCTCCTTGTAGGCCGGGTAGGCATTGTTCTTGGACACGGTGACACCAACGGCCACGGCAATGACAATGACGATGATCAAAACCACCACAATGGCGATCCAGACCTTGCGGGCCCAGTAACGAGGATTCCACCAAGGCATTCTGGTCGTGACGCGACTGGCTTTTCCGTGGTAGGGCCGAACATCGCCGTCGTCTTCGTAGCCGGGCATGGCGTATTAGATATAAAAGAATGGGCCGCCTGTTTTTTTTTCCCAGGGCCAGCTGATGGCGGCAATTAATTGATGAAAGGGAATATCAGGCTGTAGACAAAGAGAAAAGGCGTCTGTAATCTAATATCAGGCTCGCTGGCTGCCTTTTTCCTCAACTAATAAAACAGGCACCGAGTCTTGGAGGGGCGTTTTCGGCCGAGGTCTGGATCAGGCCGGGCTTGCCAAGACGCCAATGGCGGGGGTGGATGAGAGCTCGGGCGCGTACAGAGATTGTTCCTTCTTGGCGGCCAAGATGTATAGTCATGAAAAAATTGAGAATGAGTGTGAGGATGGGATGACAAGGACAAGATTGAAAAGTGTTTGTGAATGGGAAAATAGGAATGGACAAGCTCTGGGACAACAGGCTATTGACGCAGGATGGATAGTTGGGCGGGACGTGGTTGGCCGAGAGGGAAAAGATGTGGTGCTGCGCCTCGTCCAAATACGATAAGAAGCTACCAACAGCGCAGCAAAACTACAAAGTTCTAGGTGTGGTTGCCCCTGGCATGCACATGCCTAGGTACAGCACTGTAGGTAGGTAGGTACCCGTAACTTCTCTGCGGCCTGAGGCTTTAAACGTGTGTTTCTACGAAGGGTGCCAGGTGCAGCACCAACAACTGACTGGTACAGCAGGATGATTGACAACAGCCCAGCGCTCTTCCAAAAGGGCAACAGGTTATCAGGCCAGAAAAGGTTCAGGGAAAGGGCAACACGAAGGGAAAACTAAAGAAGGGGTGGGCGAGGGACGCGCGTCAGAAGTCGAGAGCAAGCCACCAGCTCTGGTACACTGGCGCTGTACTGGTTTCCCCTGACGATCCAGAAGTATTGGCGGCGACTTTCAAAAGTACTGCGACTAGCGAAGAAAAAAAAGGTTCATCAATGAGCTAACTAATGGTGCTAAATCCAAGTTCCAGGGCGCTGTGGTGGAACCGGGATGGACGGGATAGACGGGATTGACATGGCACACGGTGGAGTAAAGCTTGTACATCTTCGATGGATGAGGTATTCGCAGAGCTGATCTGTTCATCGCAAATTGTAGTTCTTTTCTTTTCAACGAATTTGCATTTTGCTCAGCATAGATGCTCCGTTGTCCGGTCATCGCATGTCGCCGCATACGTTGCCGTCTTGTATTAAGCCATTGGCATGTCGGCGGGGGGGCATCGTCGTTGCCCCAGCGGGATCTGGTTAGCGGGCGTGACGACAATCCGATCGGCGAGGTTTTGTCTCAGGCTAGGTAGGCACGGGCAAGGTGCCAGGGTTTATAAATATCTCATCATTGCTGAAAATGGCCGGTTTTTTCGATATTGATCTAATTTTCGGACACAATAGCACAATGTCGTTGCAGTCTTCTCCAGAGCATGGATTTGAATGTGAGTTCGTATTATAATCGAGTGGCGTGGGGCAACATTCGCACACGTTATTAATAGTGGTACAAATGCCAGCCTGCTTCCACGGTATGCCGACGAAACCCGCTGAGTTTCTCGCACCGGTTTCACCACCTTTGAGCCGCCGCCATCACAGCATTGCCAAACACATACAAATAAAACAAAAGCAAAGATGTCAGAAAAAAAAAGAAATTGAACTCGTAATATCAACGGGGTATTAATATGCCGCCCATGCCTAAACCAAAACAAATCTCGTCTCCTCCTCCTCCACCTCCCAGACCTCTCTCCCTGTCCACTCCGGGCCAATGATTCCCGAATAGCCTCATCCATTCCCCCCAAACCGCTGGCCTCCCATCACTCCACCGCCAGCGTCTTCGTCACCGCCACCACCGCGCACACCCAGCTCAGCAGATCCGTCGTCAGCGTCCTCGCCATGTTCACCCTCAACCACACAACCTGCTGGTCCACATTCGTCAGCCCTTCCTCGTCCTCAATCGCCACGCCGTCGTCGTCGACCATGGCCTTGATCGGCCCGGCCACCCACGGCACCCACGCA